CGCTTCACCGCGCCCTGGAGAAGACACCGACCGACCGACGGACCGCGGCGTGAGGGGCGCCGGGGGACTGGGGGGGGGGGGCTGCACCGCCCCGCCCCGCCCCGCGCGCCCCGGCCTCGCCCCGCCCCTCGGCCCCGCCTCTGAGCCACGCCCCGGGCCTAGGCCCCGCCCCCGGGCCCCGAGGCCCCCAGCCCCGGCCCCGCCCCCACCTGTGAGTAACTGCAGCGCTCGTGGTCGCTGCCCCCCAGCACGGCCCGCGCTTCTTTCTCCAGTTCTTCGTTCTCCGCCAGCACCTCCGCCAGGGACACCACGGGTTCCTCCGCGCCGCTCCCGCCGCTTCCCGGCTCGGCGCCCTCCGGAGCCGCCGCCTCCATCGCCGGGCCGCGAAGGCCGAGGAGCGCGAAGCGAGGCGGGAAACGCGGGCCCGAGGAGGCGCCAGGGGGCGCCACAGCGGAAGCGGAATGGCGCGCGCCCCACGTGACCGTGGGCGGTGTGTCACGGCGGGGCGGGGCGGCCCGCGCGGCGCGCACGTGACCGGCGGGGCGGGCACATGAGCGGCGGGCGGTGATGGCGGACCTGGCGGCCGAGACGGAGCCCGAGCCGGGCCCGTGCCGGGATCTGGTGGCGGAGCTGCGGGGCCGCGACGGGCGGACGCGGACGGTGCGGGTGCCGTACCCGGCGGCGGCGGAGGGCGAGGCCGCCCAGCTGCGCGGGCTGCGGGCGGCCCTGAGCGAGCTGCAGGAGCGCGTGGTGGAGCTGCTGGCGCCGCTGGTGCAGGAGGAGCGGGCGGCTGCGGGCGGCGCGCGGCGCGGTGAGTGGCGGGGGGGGCGCGCCGAGGGGGCTCCGCCAGCCCCGGGGCGCCGCCCGCGCTCCGCACCGTTCACCCGCGCCCGCCCCATCTCCGGCAGGTGCTGGCGGGGATGACGACGACGACGACTACAATGACGAGGAGGAGGATGAAGGCGAAGACGAAAACAACGTGGACGCGGCAGCGAGCGGCGATGACCCTCCCGTGAAGCGGACGAAGGTGCAGCAGCCGTGAGGGCGGCGCTGGAGGCCGGGCCTGCGCCCGGACAGGCTGTACCGACTGTAAGTGTCCCGGGCCCGCTGCACGGAGCCGCTCCCGCGGCGCTGCTGCTCCCGTTTAAATGCGAAATGTCCATCCCGACACTGGTTTAATACGGAAGCCTTTCCGAAAGGATGCGCCTGGGTGTGAGCAGCGTGTGGCTTACGAGGTGCCAGTGCTATGCTGGCACCAGTTTTTGTAAACTAGTTGGCAGGTACAGACTTTTCTCACAAATCTTCTGATTGGTAGGTTTTTTAATAACTTATTTTGAGTCACAGTATTTCTTCATGTGACACCACTTTTAAAATAAAGCAATAAAACCTGCAAAGAGTTATTTTGTCAAATGTGATCTTTAAAAGACAGCTTGTGTTTGTATGGAGAAAAAGCAATATAAGACCACTATAAGTATCAAAATTAACAAGCATGTATAGGACTGTGCCTGTTCCTGTACAATCCTACTGTGGAAGATTATTTTTGCCTGTCATCAACAAGGTTTAGTCACCTGTCAATCAAGCTTCTGTGAACAGGTATAAAACACTCTTGATAGTCATTCCATAGAGCTTAAGGCCTAAGAGTGTACTCTAGCAGAATTTAACTGCCTGAATTAATACTGTGAAAAGTATTTTGGGAGGTTATTTTCATTTTCTTGTGTTCTCTGGGCACAGTTTGTGTATATGTTATGGAACCTGAGCAAATCTTGGGACTTACATATATAGGACAAAGTGTGGAAATAAATGAACTTTTATGAGGACAAAATTGTCTGCATCCATTTGAAATGCAGGGAAGAGCCAGAAATGAGGTCCAGTAGATGTGTCCTTGACTTTTATATTCTCAGATACTCTAAGATGCTCTGTTGGCAGATGAGATAGAAGCATAACTGAAAAGACCAACTCAGGTTGTACACCTGTTTTCCCTTTTCCTCCAGATAAACCTTCCAGAATGGTATGAACTGTCTAATGGCTGATTAGCAACATTTAACATTAGGCAAGAATTTGTGGCCTTTACCTATAAACCGTGTAAACACTCCACTGGCATGTCATGGACTGAAAATGTTTGGTCTAAAGCAACAGACCCTAACTTAGCAGCACTGAAGTTTCAGGAGACCTTATGCAATTCTAAGTTGAAGGTTTGCTTGTGGCAAATGTGCCCTAACTCTTTTGATGAAATGAAAAAACTTCATTTTTCTGAGAGTTGCTGTGAAGTTACCAGGCTTGGGAAGCTTTAGTGTGATGTGGTTCCTTACCCTCCCAATCCCCTACAGCTGTGTTCTGAACCCTGTCTGGAGAGCCCCATAGTCATCTGTGGCCCTGAATTTTAGGCAAAGGAGGTAGGCCTCAATGGAAAAAAGATGCTGTATTCTTCACCTCAGAGAGAGGCAGTGCTTTTGTACCCAACCAGCCTTCAAGGGGGCACAGAACAAGCTCAGTTCACCACATCTGCACTGGTCAGTGTAGTTTGTATGTCTTACTAATAGAACTTGGTTTTACTGGCCCAAGGGAGCTCAATGGATTTCCTCACTAAAATAAAGGGGAGAATGCTGGTGTGTTTGGATGGAATTAAAAGAGCTGATGTGATACTAAATTCTTGGTGGTTAGATGATAACCAACTACTTTTACTAGTTAGAAAACATAACAAAAAATGTCAAAACATGTCTCCTTCACAAAGACTGGGATTATATGATGTACTCTATTGTTACTGTTTTGAAATACTGAATTGCTGGCTCAAACAACTTTAAGGCTAAATTCATGAAGGAACTTAACAGGTTGCAGTGTTCTGTGTTAAAGAAAAGTTTTAAGTCTCAAGTATGCAAGGCACTCAGATAGTTCTGTGAGGGAGAGGAGGTAATCTCATTATGCTCAGTAATTGGGGCATTGTCTAAAAGTGCAGTGCCTTTCCTATCTCCCAGAAGAGGGATCCACAGTCATCATTTTCATTAAAGGATTTGAATGCCATTCACCCATGGCAGCCCGTTTGATTCCCACTCACTCCATCTTCAAAGGTAACTTATCCATAAGCCATTATGAGTATCAGATTATCTGCAGTACCCAGTAGTCTGGCAGCTGGGACATCATGGGGCTTAACTCGGTGACTAGGTTAGCACTCAGCACTGTGAACACCTGAGCAATTCTGCACCAGCCACCTGGGCTAGACATGGGCCCTGAGGACTGAGTTGAGCAGATGCACCTTCTTATGGCTGTAGCATGTTCTTTCTTCCCAAAGAAACCTGCACTATCTTTAAAGAGAGCTAAGATAAATCAGTTCTTAAAATTTAACTACACGATAAAATTATTAAGCTGCTTTTGTGCATTAGGTAATTTCTAGAAAAGTAGTTCTCATCAAAGACTGTGACATAAAAAATCAGGATTTTTAAAAAAAACTAGTAAGAGAAACTAGAGAGTGTCCTTTTAAGAAAACAATGGACCAGGCAAGAGAAAATAAGGAGAGTTAATATGTATTCTGCATCAACTGCAATGTTTTGTTCCAGGGATAGGTCAATCCTCATATTTTTAATTTAAGAAATGAATCAAATTTCCTACTTTGCTGCTGAAGAAACATGTCATAAGGAAGAGATTTTATTGTAACTTACTTTTGTCCAAGTTTGAAGGGCTGCAGCCTCATGTTATGCTCTTGGACCTGCTCCCCCATGGCAGGAAATGAAGGACAGGCTTAGTAGCACCTGTGGCAGACACATTCCTGAGATGGGAAGGGACTGTCAGGTAAAGGTCAAGCAGCTAAAGAAACTAACAAACATTGAGACTGCTCAAGTGATGTTCAAGCAGTCTGACAGTGCTTTGTCTTGTTGCACAAATGAAAAAAAAGAAATCTAGGGTAAGTGGCATACAGATGATCATTAATCACCCTCGTGTTACAGCTACTCACTTTGTTGGCAGAACATTAAAGCCTCAGAATGTTGCAAAACTTCAAGCTTGATTATCCCAAAAGTTTGTAGATGATCTCACTTTCTGTTACAGACAGCTCTTTGGTGACTCAGATAATCAGCCTTGACAATACCTATAAATTTTCAGAATAATCAAGCTGAAAGTTATTTCACTACTTTTTTTTTTTTTAATACTGCAGTAAAAACCAATTTATCATTCATTTTTATAGCCTTTCCTTTATTTACCCTATTGGTAAGATTCCACCTGTTGATGTTCCTCTGGTGTCAAAAATGCTGGAAGCACCCAGCAGAGCTAACTTAGCTCTTCTCCTACTCTCACTGTCTAATATTTGTATACACAATGTTAATAGTTCTCCACTGCTGTTTTCCACTCCAAGCTCAAATGCTTACACACATAGCATTTGCTTGAATTAGACTGTGTGTTTTTCTGTAGTTAGTTGCAAAGCACATGCCTGTCAACAGCTGGAATCCAAAACCAGGCCTCTGAGGGAAAAGTCTACAAACACGAGCCCCTGTTCTGCAAGTCCCCACCATGCCCAGCACGAGCTCCACATCCAGACAGCTTGGGTCATCCCACCAGGCCTGCCAGTGAACTTGCTAAGGGTCACATGCTTGCATGACAGAAAATGAGGTAGTTCTTCTTATCATTTTCTATTTTTGATGCTTCCTCTTATGCACTTGGCTCTTTAAATAATTCCATCTGCATACAATGTAACTGTTCAGTTTAAAACTACAGTGTGAAGTTAAAAATAGTCCAGCCAGAGGTATCTCTCTTACACAAGAGTAAAGAAACAAGGGGATTCAGTTTCATCCAGCAAGCCCCAAAATTTCAGGCTACAAACAATTAGGGCACAGAGCATAAGAGGACAACAAAAGATGAACTGAACACACACACTGAGGGAAGGACATGAGCACAGGCTACAGTAACTGACAGCCAGCACTGCTGCCTGGCACCAAACACACAAAAATACCCCACTAAACCAAAAACAAACAACAAAAATGAAAAGCTATTGATAAGTATCTGCATTAATAGACTTGTGTTTATAAACATTGAAAAGTTTTTATTTTATAGATAAATAGCATGGTGATTTTAAAAGTTGAGAAACAACACAACTTAAAAGCTCTGACTCCCCAAGATACTAACTACTCATCAGAGTTTATAATTTACTCTTACTCCAGCACACTAAGATGGCAGCTTCTTCCTTTTCATATTGCACTTAGAACTCAAACCCTTCTTGCAAAGGCTACATTGTTTTCAGGTCCTAGCACCAATGCTGACGATTGAAACCAGTGTCTCAAAGTATCTCCAAGTGCAAACAGAAAGTTTAAGGTATTGGAACTGCCATGCTTAAACACAGCAACAGTGAAAATAGTGTTCTCTTTCCAAAGGAAGAGAAAGACAACTCTCCAGGATTCCATTAAAGCAGTCAGAAATAGATTAGCATTTGAGATGATTAGATATGGACAATCACATACAGTTGAAATTATAGGCAAGGAGTTTAGCTCGTAATTCTTTTGAGCCTACTGCTTCTGAGAAGTGTATCTTGCACTGTTTTCATATTTGTTACTTCCATCATGGCTGGGACAAAAATTTAGCTCTCAGAAGAAACAAAAATGGACAGAAAGAAAGAACAGATTCAGTCTTATTCAAAACATGCTATTCCAAAATAGCACTGAAAAATAGAGGTTGAAACTATGGCAAAGAAATCTCAATGGAATTTCAGTATGACTGAAGAAATTTACATTCATTACAAGAATGAGAAGGTACCTTACTTCTTTGAATTTCTGGAAGAAACATGATTATCTGTCTTACAACCTGTTAGTAGCATCTCCCAAACAGTTAACTTTCCCAAATTCAAAGTTTTTCCTAATATATCAGTTCTCTTGGAGCACAGTTTCCCATGATGTCTGGAGTGAAACTGGAATGGTCATAAATTTCAGTAATTTGTAATTTTATCAAGCAAGATGATAGGAGAAGGAAACACAAAAGAATTTTTGTGCAGACTACAAGCCAATGCCAGCATAGACTGCTTTTGATGTTGTAGGAGCAGTTTAAAACATCAACCTCCAGGCCTATGCCATTCCTCACTGCCTGCCTACTACAGTGTGGGACTGTTGTGACTGAAAAGAAGTAGCCTACCACAGAAAAAAATGTACTTTTTCCCTTTAAAGGTTTGCACAAACTTTATTCTTTGCTTCCTGTTTTTGTATCTAAACTTATTTTTAAAAATTCATTTAAAACAGCACTGATGTAGATTAAAAAAAAAAGAAAAAGCAAAGAATTGCGTTAAGTGCAGCTTTTATAATCACGTTCCTAATTTCTTTTTTCCTTTTACATTTACCACAAAAGAAGTATCTTTTCATTGATTTCACTCCAAGGGAAAACATATAGGAAATCACTTTTTTGCACAGAGGAGTAAAGTTGTGGACCAGAAACTTGCTTCCCCACAGGACATTTCAGATGGAGAGTTGCAATTTTGCATCATTAAGGCAAAATGAGGAATACTTCCATCACATGACACACAGGTCTCTCCCACTCTGGCCACTGGATAGATCCACAATTAAAAACCTTTGTAATTACTTGTTTGCTTTAAATAGAAAACAGTCATTCTCTTCATTGCTTATCAGTTTGAAAGAAAAGGCCCCTTCCGGCCTTCACTCAGAACTTCAGTCTTGTGATTAGATCAAGCAAATGCAATTGCTTCAAACCAGCAACAGAAAGTAGCAGTTGAGCTAAGTGTCAATTAGTTGTAATCTACTGATCTGATTAGAGGCCTTCACAAATGTTTGGTGACGATTGCAAATAACAGCCAAGCAGATAGGAATGATGCAATACCCAACAGTTTTGGGGTCAGCTCTCGTACAGGAATAGAGGAACAAGAACATCTGTAAGTACGGTATTAAAAATATTATCGTCCACAGCCAGAAGGGCAGGGATAGCAGTCGTACTTTTAAGGAGTGTGTCCATGTGGTTCCTTCCTGTGGCTCCTTGGGGTGCTGCTGAATGTGCTCCAGTGCCAGTTTGTTGTAAGTCTCATTGATTTCAAAGACATAATAAAAAGCTGCAGCACTTGCTAACAAGTACAGCCCCACGCCAATCCAGCCCATCCTCTGGCGGAAGTTCATCATTCTCCATGCTCTGCACCTGAAACAAAAGGTGACAGAAACGTTCAGTACAGCTTGGAAAGAGAGGCAACAGATGAACCTTGGTTTTCATAAGTTAACTTTCTATAACTTTTCATTGCACATTAGTTAAAACACACACATCAATTTCTGAAGACCTGAGTTTTCTCTACATCATAGAAAATCACTACTCTGCCAGCAACAGGTTAATGGCAACAACATAAGAAGCTCCACTGATTGCTCTGGGTGGTTTAGGGCTTGCTGGCTATCAGGATATACCTGGCTTAAGCCAGGTACTTAGGGAATAAAACAAATGTCATCAACTGGGTAAGTTACCTACCTCATCTGCCCTCAATGTCTCTAGACACAGAGATAATGTAAGATTTTCTATAAATAAGTAAAGTTTGGAAAGTTCTTTGATGCCTGCAAGACAGCCAGTAATGGTACCATCACTGCTTGTCTGTGGTGCAGCAACATCCACTTTCATTAAGCTCTAGCTGAGTGCCCATTTATGAACCACAGAAAGAAATTTGAACATGAGGTTCAAGGCTTAGGCTGCACTAAAGGGATGTACCTGTACAAATTATTGGAGCCTCACAGACAGTACTGGGCTCAATTTGAGCTATTTCAAATCTCCAGCTTGCCAGATGGGTCTAGGGGACTGGAAACACTCTTCAAAGCAGTCACTAACACTTCAGCTGGAGTGTACCTCCACACAAATGAAGTCTTCACCTCTTCCCCTCCAAACAGCCCTTGCACAGGGCAGGGAGAACCACTGCTTCTCTGAACTTGATTAGGGCTCTCAAAAAAACCCGCTTTTTCGGCCCTCTGGGCTTTTTACCTTTCAGACCTTTTCCTACAGAGGGGTAAAATCCATCTATGTAGTGCTGTTTTAAGAAAATATATCAGGCCTTTAAAATACCATGCAGAAATGCTTATTGAAAAATGCATTATGCATAGAAAACAGTAACAATTCAAGGAAGCATTACAGAATTTACCATAAATGATACAAAATCATTACACCATTCTAAATCACCCTTTCTGAGCCAGACCAATCTGCCAGTTTTGTTGGCAATCCTGATTTTACATAACTGAGGGATATTCTCAATCCTGACGTGACAGAATGATCAAGACAGCCCTAGAGAAATTGTTCTGGCCCTCAGACTCCTGCATTCATGGTGGCTAAAAGAATCAAACATTCAGGGACATAAATACCTGAGAAGGAACAGTAAATACCTAAAAGAGAACAGTAAACACTTGAGAAGGCTATTGTACACTTAAGTAATGTCAACGTCTCGTTCAGCTGATCCTTCTATATAACTCAGCTGCACGTTTCCCTTTATTACCCCGAGTCAATACGTTTAGTAGGACAACTGAAAAACTGTTGAAAGGAACTGTTCATCTAGAAGGTAAAAACTTGAACGCCAGGTCTGCGTTTACCCGCTAAAGAAGCCGCTGGCTGTTTTTCCCAGCAGTTCGGCATATCCGAGCTGGCTCATGAGTTGTCGCCTTCGAGGAAAATAAACCGTCACACGGTATGTATATACTGAAAACACAAACACTATCAAAACAGCACCAGATTTAAGAAGGTAAATATCAGCGCGTTTTGATCCTGCCCTTGAGCAGTAGCCAGAAGAGGAACCTTAGCTCCTGGTTATATCAAAAGAAGCTGAGCTAACAGACTCTTCTCATTGTTATTCTCCGTTTTCAGAGCCAGCTCCAACTTGCAGCTTTTGGGCACACCCGCGATGGTTCTCGGACCCCTTCAGCCCTCAGGGGCTCTCCTCCGGCGACCCCCGCGCACACCGCCCGCCGGACCCGCGCTCCGGGCGAGACGCGCTTCGCCGCCGCGGGTCCTTCTGGGCGCCGGCAGCTCCTTACCTTCCTCCGGCCGAGAAGGAGGGAGCGGGAGGGCGGCGGCGGGCGGCCCGCTCCCCTCAGCCCGCGCCGCGGCGCCGGGAGGCGGCGAGTCCCGCGGGCCCGCCCCGCTGCCCGCCCGCCGCCATGGCCGCCCGCCGGCACCGGCACTTCCGGCTCGGGCCGACGGCTGCCGGGGCGCGCGGCCGCATCCGGGGCGGGCGCCTTGGCCGGCGGCCATCTTGGCTCGGGCGCGCGCCCCTCAGCGGCCGAAGTGGCCTCGCCCAAAATGGCGGCGTCGCCTTGAGGCGGCGCTCGGCTCCTCGTGGGGGGCCGATCCAAAGTGTCTTTCCCTCGTGAGCCCGCCGAGGGAAGTAACAACAACGATTACTAAGGAAGTTACAACAGAGACTGAAACAGTCCAGCAAGTGGCAAACGAGTAGTCGATTCCCAGTATATGCTTATACATAAACATGACGTAGTGGATTATTTCTATTAAATTGAATTATCAGGAGATATTATAAGTTTATTATCCCATAGCAACGGGGGTTGGGGATCAGGTGATCTTTAAGGTCCATATGTCTCTATGATCTAGTGGAGAAAAGCTTTTAATGACGCTAAAAGATGGTTTAAATTAACAGCAGAATTACACGCTCAGGTGTGTGCTATGGAATGAGGGCAATGATTTTGGGAGAGTTTGTGAGAACGTGTTCGCCTGAAATCAGGAACTGGGACGTGAGCTCCGTGCCAGTTAACACTGAAATTGCATCGCCTTACGTAGAAGTGAAACCTGTTACTAAATTGTATCCTCAAGTCATGAGAAAACTACTGTTTCTTATTGTGAAAGCAGCAGTGGCCACAATTCACTCTCATCGGTTCTCGTTAAGTTGAAGGAGGCTAAAAAAGGATTTGAAAAGAAATACCCAATAAGAAACAAAAGTTGCTAAAGCAATGACTTTTTTTGTTTATGTCTAAATACATAGGATCTTCTGCCACTTTTCTTGGGGACGTAGCAGGTGCGTGTGACACAGTATGTAAGAGCTGCTGCTAAATCAAATCTGTGATGCCTTATCCTGCAATGTTTGGTGTTTCAATGAAAAGCATTAGAAGCTGGTGTTTTGGATTATAGTCAGGACAGCTGATGAAGAAATGCACGGAGCTGCAGATATCAGTAGAGAAAAGGGACACTTGAGAGCCCACAAGAGTCAGAAATACAAATCTCATCATACAGCAACTTCAAATTAAGTCATACTGTTTTGGGTTTTTGTTTTTGGTGTTTTTGTTGTTGTTTTGGGGGAGTTTTTTTGTTTGTTTGTTTTGGGGGTTTTTTTGTTTTGTTTGGTTTTGGTTTTTTTGTTTTGGTGTTGTTGTTTGGTTGGGGGTTTTTGGTTTTGTTTGTTTGGGGGGTTTTGTTGTTGGTTTTTTAAAAATTATTATTATTGTTTTAATGCTCATTGAAGGCCCAAAAGTGACACAAGATGGCGCCCAGAACCACAGGCAGAGCAACCTGAGCAACACCCTGGCTCCCAGGTCAGATATTTTACACTTTACTTCAGTTGAATGAAGATTTCATTATCTTTCCTGAAGTTTAAATAAACCTAAACCTAAATAAACCGCTAAATTAGTGTAGTTCTGAGGACACATGTAGATATGAATAGCTACATACAGGTTATTACTCCTGGAACACTTCTCTCAACCAAATGCCATTCTTTCCATTCTTACAGGTGGTGAGGTTCCAGTTGATCTAAAAGTGAATAAAGCTCCTGTATGGCTAACAGACCTTCCACTCAAGCATGGCTATATTGCATTTTCTTATATTGAGGTTAGAGGTAATGATGAACCAGTTTATTTTAAAAAACCCACCTAGATGTCAAAGAGAAGGCTTCCAGTGCAAATTAGTATGTGACTGTGTGAATGTATGGCTTGGCAGTGGATACATGTGCTAAGTGTAAAGCCTTGCACTTAAGATTCCTAAGACAAATCAGTGAAATGTGGACCTTATTCCTATTTAAGAAGCCTGTCTTTTCACGGAATGGTTGGAGTTGGAAAGAGGATGGTTTAGGATTTAACCTGCTTGTAAACCAAGTAGGTTAAAAGACTCAACCAAGGGTCCTCTGTGATAAACATAGAGCCTGAGATTGTGGCTATAAAGAGAAGGATCTAAAAAATTTGAAGAGTTATAACAGTCACAAGCTGCCTTTGAAGGCTAAGGCATAACACCAGCCAGAGTGATTTGTAGTATTTTTGGGCTAGATCTCAATCTATATAAATTCAGTGTTGTGCTTAATCTCTGCCATAGTAGAGGAAGGGACAGAGCAAATAACTGAGGGTTTGTTGGCTGGTTAGTTTTAGCAGCAGCCTCTAAGGGGGGAGGAAATAATACCAAAATTAGTAGAACAAGAAGCAACTGTTCTCAGCTTTAGACAAATTCCAGTCACAAGTGCTGGTAATAATAAGGGGAAAGAACTCATAACTCTGCATATTGAAATGAGAACATACACCTGGTGGGACTCAAAAGGGTAATATTCAGCTTGGGAAACCAGAGAAGATAGAAGTCTGCTGAATCCAAAGGAAATAATATTTCATGAACAGAATCAAAGAATTAATCATGGGATTTTGTAACATTAAAAAATAAGTGTTTGACCTAGTTTTGACATACAATGTATTTTTATAGAAATATTTGGTTTATTTTGAAGGTAAACCAGAGAAGCAATGGAGCAGCAAGAGCTGGCTGCTCCATAGAGGGCAGGAGCCAAGTAGAATAACACAGGTGATGGGCCAGAGCCTTGTAGGACACTGATTTGTGATTCATCTAGAACATCACATTCCTGCATCTTTTCCTTCTTAATCCTAACTCTAAACCACTCTTTTGGGTAGAGAACTAGCATCCTTACAGACTGCACATATGTTTGGGTTCCAAGGAAAAACACTCATGTGAATTTTTATCAGTGAGGGCATGAATGCCCAAGCCCAGTCCCACAGAGCCTGAGCAAGGCAAGCAGGGAACACTGGATTCAGACAGGAGTACAGAGCATCAGGCAAGTAACAAGGTAGGTGCAAGGTCAAGCTGGGAAGGCAGCCCACAGGCTAGGGTCAGATGCAGTGAGAGCGAGGGCCAGACATCACCTAGGAATTGCCATGAAGGTCCATACTGATAAGAAAAGACTGAGGTCAAGCTAGGAAGTCAGTCTGTGACTCCAGACCCAGATAAACATAGCTTGGCACAGCCCATGGCTGAGCTGGGGACATGTACTGATACAGGTCAGGCATGAAAGCACAGGGCTTGGCTAAACTGGGCCTCCTGAGCCCATGGCAGGGGTCAGGTGAGGATTGCTGGGGCTATTAAGGCCTGTTAGGATGCTCAGGATTCTGACAAACTACATAGGATAAATGGGGGTTGACAAGAGGGATCAGAAGAGTTAGTTGTAATCTTTAAGTCAAACAAAGTTTTCATAACTCAGTATTAATAGAAATCAGCCTTTCCTAGGCTTAGATTTTGGCCTAAATAGAAAAGCAAAGGTAGAATACCTGAGATGATTACAAAACCAATATTAGCTTCCAAATGAAAGGCAGAAGCTGAAGGACAGAATGCATCTCACATCCTTTTGGGTGGATCTTATGTTTATATTAGCAGAGTTGTAGTAGGTTCTCACTGACAAGTAATCAAGAAGTGAGAATCTAATAAGAGAGGCATTTCTGTCAAGATGGCATTTGCCTTCGACTTTGTAGGACACTGATTTGTGATTCATCTAGAACATCACATTCCTGCATCTTTTCCTTCTTAATCCTAACTCTAAACCACACTTTTGGGTAGAGAACTAGGTCCTTACAGACTGCACATATGTTTGGGTTCCAAGGAAAAACACTCATGTGAATTTTTATCAATGAGTGAATGAATGCCCAGTGTTTCTGTAGCTTGTAGCAGCTTTATTTATTAGATGTAGTTACAGTGAATTTTGTAGTATCCTGTCGTGGTGCAATAAATTGTTTTGATCAGTTTCTTATAATTTAGTGCGAGTCAAGAACATTAGTTTGCTTCAATTCATATTTTATTTTATGTTTTATGAATCTTTCATTTGTGTTTTAGAACTTTTGTTTTTTCTGAAAATAAGGCCATAATCCTCTGAGTCTTTTTTTTTCTTGGGTGGTTGTTTTGTCTGTACTGCTGTCTTTCTTTGAATTTTTTTGTTGGTGACACCTGTTTTCTTATAGAGTGTGGCACATTCATTTGGGAACATGCAAGAAACTTTTCTATAGGATTGAATTTTTATATTTTATTTTTTCTCATTTTAAATTGAAATAGTGTATTTGCTTGGTTTGGCTAAATTGACCACATGAAAAAGAGCTATTCAGTGAGGCGAATGGTTATCTTTATCACTTTTGACTTACTTTGTATACTTTGAATTTTTGGGACCTTAAATTACCTTAATCTAAATTCTCAGTTCCTGAAATTCTGCTCCTACTGTTTGTTTTTTGGCAGCAGCCACATCTGAGTTAAGCTTCAGGCAATCGTGTTATCCAGCTTCTTTGAATGCCATCCATACTTTGTTCCTAGTTGTAGAAATATTTATCATGTTTCCAACAAACTTTTTGATATTTACAAATGGAATAAATAGCTATCTCATTCTCTCAAACATCCACAGTACATATCTGCCAAAAGAAGAATTACACACTATAACCCTTTGCCAGTGTGCCTATAAAGAACTGAGTCTTTTATGAAGAAGGGCCTTGGTATTTTAGACTGAACTCTTGTTCATTACTTACCTCTGAATGTACCCCTCATGTCTGCATTGTTCATTATTTACCTCTGAATAATACCTTGCTCATTGTTTACCCTCATAGCTGCATTGTCCCTGCTAAAACAATTCCGGCCGGAAAGAGATAAAATCTTTGCTTTTACCTTCTCCTTTGCAGCCAATTACAAAGTGGCTTCAAAGTTGAGCAAGAACTGACAAAACATACTGAAAGGATATGGGCAGAGGTGTCTGGTAACTGCCTATTCCTCTCTGTGGCATTTATTCAAACAGAGGACAAACACAATTTATGCAGAAGCAATGCAAATATTGATCTCACAGCTCTAGTGATATGACCCAGCATTGTACTGGCCTAGGAGGAAAGAGAACTTGCAGAATTTTTGTCAAACCAGTTTACAGTTATAAATTGCATTTCAAAAAAACCATTATTCATTACAATTTATTGTTTTTGATGAAATCCCCACAAATAATATAAAAACCACCCAAGTCCACTTCCAAAGCCACCATTAAACTCCTGAGAATTCTGCTTTTCCATGTTTTCAACTAAAGTCATCTCATACTACCAGAAAGGAACAGTTATTAAATTTCCATGCTGAGTTTGCTGCTGTCAACATATTTGGTCATATAAACAAGTTAACTGAAAAATGACCCATGTTAAGAAGAAATACAGAATCCTTCCATCCATATAGATAGGCCAAGAGAAACATCTGACCATCTCAGAGAGTGACTGCTCCATCCTCACAAGAGGAGTGATCTTTTTTTAAATTTCCACTAATTATCTCTCCTTCAGTGGTGCTTATGTGAAGCAAGTCAGTAATACCATAGAATTATTGTAGAGATTTAGTTATTGCCTCTTCTGAGATTCCCAGTTTCCAGGGTGTACCTATCTTGCTCCAGACTGTAAACTGTATGCAGCAGGGAGTATCTATATTTAGATTTTCCAGAAACATAACTTTCTTTCACGAAACAAATAGTGAAAGAATTCAGTTCAGATCAGACCTTTTCCCAAGGTCAAAGATCCCAACGTTTTTGCATAGACCAGGATGGAGGTTTGGAGAAGGTAGACAGCATAGTGTTTAAGATTTGCAGAATCTAATATTTCAAAAACAAAAACAAAGGCCAAAACAACAACAACAAACCAAACCAAAACAAACAAAAAACCAAAGAAGCTTCAAAACCCCAACAGAATCAAACCAAACAAACAAAAAGAACTTGATGTGTGTGTCTTTTAGGAACCTCTTCCCTCTGTCCTGTTAGAGCTTAGGAATTACCCATAGTTACTAACATTAAAATGTACTGCAAGAGGCATATATGTAAGATATCCACCCATATAATATGAGGCTTGAGAGGTTCTTAGTGCCAGAAATGTCTGCATAGATTATAAAAAAAGAGAACTTGTCTGAGGCAATGGGAAATCGCTGTCAGAGGCAGGCTGGATGACAGAAATACCTGATGGTTTATCCAAGCTCCAGACCTGCTGAGCACCTTGTTTCTCATGGAAGTGCTTGCTATCAGCTCAGCTGAGAGGGCCAGCACCAGAGGAGAGGCTTTCATACAAATGTCATCAACTAGAAGTAAATCTTCATCCTCATCTGTAAGGAGGGCTCCTGTTGTTGTCCTGTTGTTTATCTTTAGTGAAAGATAAAAGTCTGTTCACTGTAGCTGTGAAGCTTTTAAGTACTCACTTACCCTTTTACCTGAATTTGCCTTTTTCTGAAGGCCATGCTGGAGATCTGTACCAGAAATCAGCACAGAGATCCAGAATGACTTGAACATTCATACAGAGATATTAACAGCAGTTGATGGTTACTCTGGTTACTCTCAAAGGGAAAACTTCAATAATTTATCAGTAAGTAAGTATTTGCATTTCATTTAACAAAAGCACATTAAGCAGTATTTGCAAATCTTTAAAGCAAAAGTCATTTTGTTTTTTCCTTACTGTGCAGAATTTTTAAGCTGCTGCTCTGTGCTATATAAAAGGAAATTTCAGTAATGCCTACTGTCATAAACTCTGTCATATAATTCCAAGTGAATATTTAAATATCTCCAGCTTAGCACATTTATTACTGCATTTGTTGGCAATCTTAAAGAGGAGAAATGTCCACTTCTCCACACAAATGTATGCTTGATTTTCCTTTCAACCACACAATGTAAACATAGTCATCATAAAACCAGGAAGGTACTGGGAGAATAAAGAAATACACTGTTATGAGACTGTTAGAAGTGTAAGTGCATCCAAATCAACACATTCTCCACATGAAAGAGTACCTGGCTTAAATTAGTGTGTCACTGTAAGTGCATTTCTGCACTGCTTTTTTAATAGGAGTTAGAGCACCTCCATTCTAAAATGATGCCTCTACACAGTGCAGAACTTATTTGCCAGGAGTTTATAGTGGTCTGGGTAACTGTTATCAGTTGAAGTGCTTCACCAGTGAATCCAGTGCATAAATGGTGATGTTACAATGCATTGTGATGCAAACTTAAACCTATCCTGATCTGGGTGTTGAAGCACAGGTTACCACTTCAAGGTTTTTTCATCTTCTATTCTGTCACTCTTTTTTCACAAGGTAGAAACTATGATTCTCAGGTTGTTGGCAAGTTTTTGAAGCACTAGTTCTAAGTGCTTTGGCAAAACAGCCTCTGAAGCAGTGGAAAATCTTTAGATTGGTAAAATTAGGCAGCCTGATTCTTTTCTGGAGTGGCTTCACACAGTGAAAATGCTTAGAGACTTGGTTAGCCAGCACTGCACTGGTGGGAGAGAACAGCACCCTAACCCAGGAGGATCAGAAAGAACAGTGGAACAGAAGGTGTAGATGCTCCTTCTCTGAAAATCTGCACAAATAAGGCCCCCAAAACCCCACCAATGTTAGCCAGCAACACAAGAGTTTTGTATCTGTAGAAAAGTCTGTGACAGCTGCAAGTTGTCCTTTCCCCAGCTGTGTGGAGAGATGGAAAACCAGTCTTTTGGGGCTATTGTCATTGATAGCAAGTGGAGATGATTAGCAACAGGTTTGAATTCTCTCAAGATTGAGTAGGTGAGATCCTTTGACAAGACCCACATGCCTATTATTTTCCCCCACCCCAATCCAGGCTTCATCATCTTCAGATGTCCTACAAATTGTGGTCAGTCCTTCTGGCAGGCTCTTTTGGTTTGCAGAGTAGCCAAAATCTAACCTGAAACCACTATCAGCTTTACCTTCAAGACATCTGGGCTAACTTCTAATTCTCTGGCTTATAAAACCATTTTCTTGAGAGAACTCTATAGTCCAAGTAGCTGAAAAATTACATAAGTGCTTGAAACACTTTTATGACAGCTTCTTAGCATATCCTGAGGCCTCTGCCATCTAAGTGGTGGCATGAGGGCTTTCCTCTGGTTTAGGGTGTTCCTCAACCTGTCTTCTCCTAGCAGGCCTCCATGTAAAAAAGAATCCCACTTCATAGGCTTGGTGCAAATGGAGCAGAAATAACCACTACACAAAGTTCTGAGAGTTCAAGAAGAACATTCCTATAACTTGTCCTCCATCTGATTTGTTTAGCTTGTTTTCCAAGTAAATAAAAGAGGGAGTGTGTATGTATCTGTGTTTATTGCACAATTTCAGAAACAAGTATATAGATCTCTTTTGGACATTGAGCTTCTGTATGTATTGGGACAGTTGTCACTTGGGTAATGGAAATTGGGTTCTGATGAAGGGAATAGGTACAATGTTAGCTCATTCCTTATCAAACAATGGGAATCTTCATAGGCACAGGTTAGGACAAACTTTTCATCCATGTGAAAATCTTTCTTCAGAGGTCACACCAGAAAACTGAGGCTCAAGGCAAGCAGTCTTCATCCCTTCAGTCACTAACATTCCTTCCCTTCTCCAGAAGCTCTGAGAGAAGGGAAAATCCCAAATTGACATTGACATTGTATGTTCAACTCTAAAGGCTGCTCTTGTACATGTGGTACATTCATATGAAGCCCAGAATTGGCCTGTTCAGAACCACTAGGAATATTTGCTGTGATCCTGCCTGTAGAAGTGTCCCTTTTAGTTGTCAGAAAAGTGACTGGGAAGCAATACCCGTGCAGGCAGCTCCAAAATGACACCCTGGGATTGTAACAAGTCCTGCATTTGGATGTGCTCATTGCCTAAGCTTCATTTACAGACTGTCAGGCACTGAGTATGTGAGATAATAAATTTAATAGCACAGTGATACAACAAGTATTAATGGAATTTATCATCTATGCAGCTACAAGTGTCTTACAGGATCTAGGCAATCTAAAATGTCTGGAAGTTTGTGATTCTAAATGAGCTATCTATTTCACTTTACAAGCCTGAGCATCTAGTAAATGCTCAGAGCTATAAGCAAATTGTAGTCTCAGTTGATTTATTGTTGATGGTGGTTTGGCTTGGGTTTTTTTTTTCCCTTTTTCCTTTTACATTACAGTTGATTAGCTCCTGTTTTCTAAAACTTGTCTCCTGAACTTCCAGTTCTTTTCTACATGAAAGAACTGTAGAAAGTTCTTTCTACAGAAAGAACTTCTGTAGTAAGTTCTTCTTTCAGAAGAGTTGCATGTAGTAGGAGGCACAACTGGGATGTTACAGGACAGAGTGTTGGTAATGTGGAGGAGATATATATGTATAGTTTAATCTTTGTTTATGAGACTGGTACTTGAGCAAAGGGGGGAAAAAGCCTCTTTTGGTTATTGAGCGTGGGGATTAGATAGTGTTTTGGAATGCACTCTGAGTGGGAAAAAGCCAAGGATGGGGGATGACTGGTGGAGCAAGACAGGTTGTATTCCTGCCTCTAGGAGAGTAGTCAGTAGGAGTCAAGTCAGTGCACCATTGGTGTGTAAGTATGAAAGGTTTGTTAGCACAAGAGGAACAGCACCTGACTCAAAGCAGGGCTTTCCCACTGTGCTTCTAGATTATCACCCAGAAGCATCTTTAGTTAACTTCAGGATAGTTGTGGCATGTCTGAAAGGACTCTTGTCTGTGCAAGAGAAGCTCATTTTGGTTAGGATTGGGGTTGTTTCCAAAAGCTTTTCTACATCTTGTTGATGAAGCTTGAATTTCCTCTGTGTGTCACTGGCAAAAATGAGGTGTTTCCTTGTGCAACATCCTCATATACTGGGGATACTATCAGATGGATTTGGTTTGTTTGTTTTTTTGTTCTTTAATGCACTAAAGTTAGTTGGCTTTGGAATGCTGCTGGCACGGGCTTTGGAATTGCTTTTCTCCATCTATTCTTTTTGCACTTGTAAGACTGGACATTGTGGTAGCTTTTGAAAAAGATGGAAATTGCTGCCCTTCCCACAGAGGAAAGCCAGTATCTCCTGATGGGACTGCACAAAATCAGCAAACACAATGGCCTGTGAACTGTTGGTGAACTCTAAGCATTTAAACAAAACAGGAAAAGGGTCCTCAGTCACTGGAGCCATGAGAAGAAAGTGCAAGTGATGGTGTAGCCCACACCGGACTTGTATCTTTCCTGTTTTCTCAGTTTTAGCAGTTTAAAAGGTTCAACTGTAGCCCCAAACAACTCATGGAAATGGAGAACCACTGGAGTGAGGACATGTTCTTTAGGTCACCTTGAACATGTCCTCACCAGGAGAAGCAAAAACAGATGTAAGCCAGCAAAATATGGGACAATAGTGGTAGGATTCATATATGTCCAGGTCAGTTTATATAAATTTATATACATGAGGTATGTGTCCATGTCACTCTGATTTCCATTCATTATATTAAAATAGCTACATTTTTTAAAAAATAATAAATTACAGCAATGCAAAATATGTGGTAAGATGGCTCATTTTGCTGTAAGCATGCTCCCAGAATTGTTATAGGTACTTAAAACCACCTGATTAAAAAAATCACTAACAGCTATAAACAGAATAACTCTCTTAGCATGAAACTGTAGCTGGAGAAAACCTCACTGCAGCTTAGTCTGTATTCAAGTCTCAGTGCAAACCTTAATAAACTGTGAGGTCACCCAAATCCTTCAGAGAACAACATTTTGGAATTTCCTTGCACATAAAGTTTGAATCATTTTAACTACACTGAAGCAACCACCAAAGTATATCTCCCCATATGTCTGCATTGACAGAGTTTGCATGAGCATTATTTCCACAGAGCTGCTTGCCATAGTAAAAGGCAAGACAGCTACACTAATGTAGCTGTGTGTCTGTGTCCACAGTTGGGTTTGGACTAGCAGAAGTTATTCAGTTTAAAAAAATCTGCTCCAACTGCCATAATTATACTGGCACAGGACTTTGTCATCTTTTGTCTTGGCCACATAGATTTTTTTGTGGCTTTAAATTCTTTATTCATTGATGAAATGCTTTCCTTGGCTTATGAGCTTATACAGAGTCTGTCCCCAGCATGCTACATGACAAGCAAGCAAACTTGGCAGCCAGACCTTTTCTTACTTTCCTGCAGCATACACATTCATCAGAGCTCAGGATAGAAAACTTTTTGAGCTGTATATAAAGTAAGATGTACCTTCTCATAAAGGTACTTTCCTTGCACTTTCAAAAAACCCCTTAGTTATCCTGTTTTCATGGTTGGAACAGAAGAGCTTGCTGTGCTCTCAGTGTGACAGGTAGCCATCTAAGCAGCACTGGGCTGGTCATCTGCCAGACATTGTTACTCTCTTTTGTAAGGTTTTTGAGCTTTTCTAGCTGAATTTCTTCTTCTGATCTCTAAAAGATCAGAAATACCAAAGAGCCTCAGGCAGTACTCATTAATCCTTCTTTTCTTTATAAAATCAGAATACTGAAGCATAAACTGCATAGGTTGTCAGGTGAGTGGGGAGTAGAGGTGAACCACTTCTTCCCCATCCCTGCTGCTGCTGTAAAGTAGGATTGCCACCAAAAGAGGCAGTTTGATGCCTTCTCTTCCTGGCTTCTTTTTTCCAACCCATTCACTGCCTTGTGCCACTATAACCAGGTAGGAAAAAGGAATGGTGATACAGACTAAGGAATTGGTTTAGGCTAAGACTTAAATACTGTTGGCAACTTCTGGGTTTGTTTAAGTCCATCTAAGTTCCTGGCTCCCTTATTCTGTTCTTGCACAGCCACATAAGCACATGGACTGTCGTGAAGGAGGGTGTGGCAGAAAGTGAGAATAAATGTCAGTTTCTGGAGGGACTGTGGCTCTGAACAGCAACACCTGATTTAGCTGTCTGTACAATAACTGTCTGATTTCCAGCTGTGCTCTCTCCATAGGCACCCAGTCCCTCAGAGCAGAGCAGCTGGGCAGCATCAGGTGCTAGAGGGGTCCCTCCTGGGAGCCATGACCAGAGCCCCACGATGGGCAGGTGTCGTGTGGCCCTTGGCAAGGGATAGCTGTGGTATGTTTGAATTCAGACATCAGAAATGAGCTTTCACCCCCAGGACTAACATTCACTGATTTATCATTTAAAACCTGCTGGCCAAGAGCACAGTCAGAAAGTTTCCAGACAATAGCAGCAGGTTTGTGTTTTGCCAGAAATTAGGCAAAAAGCAAACATAAATTGTAGAAACTCAGCTTCTGTCACACACATCCTCTAGTGAAACACTGTGAAAGAAGTCTTATCTGTCTTTTTGATGAATCTTGCAATGATTAAGCAGTTGTAGATATAGCAGAGAGCTGAGGAAATGGCAGCCCACCATGCTTCTCATACGTTTCTCTCTGGCTGCCTCACTGGTGATGACAAGTTCCACATGCTGTGTGGCACCTGGACTACTCTTTGAGTGTCTCTCTCAGGGCCCAGAAGCTGCAGTGCAGCACATGCAGAGTGTTCCTTGTGTTCCTTCCTACCTACAACTGCACTCCAGCAGTGCTGTGTTAGCACATGGTCTGACTTGGTGGTTTGGCTGACTGGAGAAAGGGGAGACCTGTTCTGATACAGAAGGCTCAGCCCGCCCTCCTGTCCATCCACAGCAGAGTAACAACTGTCTTGTAATAATAAAAAATGCAAATAAAAGTAAAAACCCTAAACTGCAGGCAATGTAAATCACCACCTTCTTTCTGCTCATTGCAAAAGATCCTATTGTGACTTCTGCCAGGTGCTGAAAAACAATTCAAACAATACTGAGAAAATATACTTTGATAGCTAATTAAATGGAGATGCCTCATATTATCCTAAAATGAATTTCCATGGAATTTCACTAACTTGTGCCACATTGCAAGTATCCGGCTTTGTCAGAGCCCCTGTATTTGTTGAAAGGGTTAGAAGACAAGGTGTGAGAGGTTCCAGCTAAACAAGGGAAACCTGCTTTGGCCTGTAGCTGAAGCTAAGATGAAGAGGAAGATAGTTCTGATTGCTGGAGGGCTCAAGATCCTAATCAACCCTCACCCCTTTAATTAGCATGAAGCAGCTCATGAGTTGCAGCTTACAGAGTTGGGCCACAGAAAGTCACAGGAATAGTCAGCTTGTTCCTGATCAGGAGTTGCATAAATATTACCCTGGGGCTTCCTGTGGTCACAGGTTTGGCATTGCCTGAACAGGCTCTGCAATGTAAACAGAGGATTATAATTTATTTAGCAAAATTGTACAGCAAGATGCAGTACAGAGGCACATCAGGTGAAATGTTTCCCACATCTGCAGTTGTTCAAGGGTTAAGATTCAAAAAGTATAGTTTAAAATGAAGGCATTTACCAGCTTTCTCCTTCCTAAGGTAGAACCTGGTCTTTGATATATGTCATACAAGTTTGTCTGTATTGGAACAAAGCAAATTCCTCCTTTTTAGTGCATGTGCTTCATTTCCACAGGAGTTAGGAATGCACAACACCTCTAAAAACCTGCTCTCCTGCATCTGAAAAAAATACATAAATATTTCTGTCTCTGCAGACTGTGTTGTAGATTGGTCTGAAGCCATGATATTTCTTAATATAATAGAAATAAATAATTTTGGAAGTTGGCTTCAATAATTTCATATTTCAATATATTCATATTCCATTCTGATACAAATATAAATTTTGAGCTTAATATACTGATGCAAATTTTAATAAAGTCTAAAATAAGTCCAGTGAAATGATAGCTGAAATAAAGCACTGATATTGGCAAGACAAAACACTTCATAACAAGAAACCCAAGTCAATTTGTTTCAGGATTCTTATATTAATATGATAATGTTTGATAAAGTCTTGTGTTTTTGAGTTACAATTTTTTTTCCAAAATTACCATGCTCCCATAAAATGTTTAAATACCAGTGAAGCATTCTGCAACAGGAATCATGCTATCAAAATACATTTACTAATTCTAATTACATTAATTAATAAACTGAAAAAATGCGTGAATACGATTAAGATAAAAAGTGTTCTGTAAAATAAAGATTAGAACATAGCAGTGGCAAATAAGATGAAGGAGAAAAAGAAAGCTATTTATTCCTCAAAGCAACCACAAATGGAGAAAACATATTATGATACAAATTGTAAAAAACTATTGGTTTGTTCGCAGGTGGTTCCATTCCTTGCCTATTTTCCAATATACCCTTGGGTCAAGATGACTGCACTGTTCATGTGAGTAATGACAGGAACGTAAAATGCTTTCTACCAACTCCCTAAATCAATTACCCCTTTCATATTTCTTAGGGCTTGCACCCTTTCCTTTGCATGGATACTTCTACCAGTACTTTTTTTATTTTCCAGTACTCTGCTGAAGTTATAAAACCGCATTTGGTGTGGCACTGTGAGTCAGCAGAACTCGCTGAGCAGTTCCCACTGCACAGGGCTCCAGGGCTGGTTTCACAGAAAGCATCATCACAGAAGCATCATCTGCACCTCAGCTCAGGATTGCAGGTACTGCAATCCAACCCCTCTGTGAAGGACATCGTTATTGTAAAGGCCGTGCTTTCCATTCCTGGAGAGACAGAGAAAAATGTTCAGACTGAAATCGTGATCGTTTCAGATGAAGGGGAAAAACAAAAACGGGGAAATTATACTTTGCTAGGAGACAGCACAGTAATTCAGACTGAAAGATTCTTCCTCTAAAATGAAGCACAGAACAGCTGCCTCATATGAGTATTTAAGGATCCACAACCCAAAAATTAGAATGCCAGTCCATGCTTGCATTGCCTGCCTTCTGCCTCTTGCAAAAGAAAGTTAAATATCAGATAGCCATTATTGCAAACTCTGTTTAATCCCTGCAGATACTTGCAAATTCTGGAAGAAGGCTCTGCAGTGAAGACTCATGTTTACTTGGAACATTTTTTCTGTGAAAGATGTACAGACCAAGTACTTTCAGGAGCACCCGTAGGAAGTGTAAGTACTGTGTAGAATGCTCCTCCCTAGGAAACCAAAATCCCTGGGGGCATCCGCGGGCCACGCCCCCGGGCCCCGGCCGGGCCAGGCCCAGAAAGGGGCGCTGTCTCTTTAAGGCGGCGGCGCGCGCGCCCCCTGGTGGCGGCGGAGCGGAGTCCGGGGGGCGGGCGCGGCCCCGCGGTGCTGCGGCGGGGCGGGAGCGTCCCGGTGCCGCCCCGCGAGGTGGGTGGGAGCGGAGCGGAGGGGACGGCCCGGAGGAGGAGGAAGTGGAGGCGGCTCTGAATAGCGGGCAAATGGGGAGCTGAGCGGCTGCAGCAGCAGCAGCAGCAGCACCGCGGCCGCGCAGCAGCAGCAGCGGCGGCGGCGGCGGGCGGGCACGGAGGCGAGCTCGGCGGCGGGGTCCGTGCGTGCGGGCGCTGCGGGCGTGCCGCGGGGCGGGCGGCAGCGGCGGCGTGCCTGCTCGCCTGGGCGCTCCGGGGCTGGTGCAGGGAGCGGCTTCTCTGTGCCTCGGCGAGCTGCCCGCCGGTGCGGGGAAGGGCCTGTCGGGGCTGCCCGCCTGCCGGGGGCTGCCCCTGGCGCGGCTCGGCGGTTCAGCGGGGCGGGCGGGGAGCAGCGGCCGCCGCGGGGAACCGGCTGATCCTCCTTTCTCCGCTTCTCTTCCAGCCGTCGTTTGGCAGGCGCCGAGTGCGAGCGGCAGCTGCGCTGCCCCGCCGCCCCGGACTGGTCGCCTGCTCGCGGGGCGGCACCATGCAGACCTTCCTGAAGGGGAAGCGGGTGGGATACTGGCTGAGCGAGAAGAAGATCAGGAAACTGAATTTCCAGGCCTTCGCCGAGCTGTGCCGGTAAGGAGGCGGCCCTCGCCGCGGGGAGCGCCGGGGCGGCCCCGGGATGGGGCTGGGGACGCTCCGTGCTCGGCCGTGGTCCGCGCCGCCCTCGGGCGTACCGCACTCGCTGCGTGGCTCCGCGGAGCCGCCTCTGCCCGCCGGGACCGGGGCCGGGGCCGCAGCGCTCGCAGTGCCCCGGGCACCCCGCCCCGCTGCCACCGGGCCAGGCTAAGCGCTCCTGCTTCCCGCTCACCTGGGCGCTGCCGGGCGCTCCAGGGAAACACTATCCGGCATGGTGCGGCGTTCCCGTGGGTGTGCCAGGGCCCGGCACAGCACCGCCTTACTGCCCGCCTGGGTGCACTCCTGCCCTCTGCTTCCAGAGAGGTCTCTGGTATTCCCGTTGAAATAGGGTAATTTGGGATCTTTGCGGACCCTCTTCCAAAGACGAGTTATTATAGAAAGAGTCAAACGTTTGGGAAGAACTTTCCTTCAAGTTCTGTGAAAGCGCATAAAATTAGGGTCTGCAAACCCATGAGTAAGCTTGTATTCATTTGGGATGTGAATGAGACATCTGAAGATGGTATAACTGTCCGCGTTATGCATCTATTTTGTGCTGTCCCAGAGGTAAAGGTTAGTTTGATAAGCTGTAATTAGACTTTATCTGAATAGCTTAGAGGATAATTTTTGCTGTATGTTACACAATTTTATTATTTAATTGGTAGTTTAAACTCCATGTGTGGGTCCAAGGTCTTGTGATACATACATTACAGCTATGGGTACTGAATAATAGCTTTTTATTACTTCATTCTAATACTACATTTATAACGAGGAGACTAAATCAGTTTTGATAATTGAAAAATGTGCTGCAAACCGTACAGAATATATTGTATGAGACTTCAAATACACTTTATTTAAAGCATATCATGCTAAAAACACCAGTCTCTGTGAAATTTCTGTTGACAGCAGTTCTTTCTGTAAAGATGAAGGAGGCAGAACAGAAAACTGTTTCAAGAAAGTGACAAACTTTTACATCCTTTTTTGTATTTGGCATTCTGTATTCCCACTGTCAAACTTCAGCAGAACTTAATAGATTTTTTTAAAGTATAGAAAGGGCCACAAGCTCTGGTTTAATGTCTAATTTCATGTGGTTCTCCAAGCAAAATTCTTGTCGATGAATAATACTAAATTTTGCCCTTGTATGAGATTTTAGGTTAGTTTTGTGGTGCTCAAAAATACACTTTTACCTCTATTAGGCATACAAAAAGTTTTTTAAGGCCTTGAGGTATGATATAGGCTGTTTTTCATGCCTGGAAACTATAGTGAATCTCAGAAAATTCATTAAAAACTTCTTGGTATTATGTTCTGTACATTGTTATATTTAGCAATCTCCAAAAGAGACTTTTTCTCCTCCGTTGTCCTTGTTTCTCTTTCTGACTAAGTGCTTTGCTTCCTTTCTCTCTACCTTAGAAATTCCTTACACATGTGTTATGTAACGTGGATCTACAATTTCTTTGTGTACTGTACAAACTTATTAATAGTTTTGGGTCATCATGCTGCTGTGAAAATTGACCCCAAAGTGTCTCTCTTGCTACACTTTACTAATTTCTTGGTGCAAATTAGGCTACCTCATCCTGTACAGGCTAAGCTCAATTTGAATAGCATTTACAGACACTGGATAGAGATGGCTGTTCATACATGCTTTGATACTTTTAAAAGTATTATTAGCATTTCTGTACAAGCAGAGATAAATGTTTGGTTTAAGTATCAGTACAGTCATTGGAGCACATTCTGCTGATATCTTGGATGCTCTGTTTTCATTCCTAGCAACTTCTATTGACACCAAAGGGAAGCTGCATTCATTTAGGCAAAGATTTCAAGTATTTTATGGATAATATCTATTTGATAACTTGTGTGCTTGTAAGCTTTTTTTGCTGTAGAAGAAGTCATGCCAAGCTTAACATACATCTTACTAGAAATCTTGTGTATGGTAAAAAACAAGACAAGCATTCTCATTCCTGTACAGTGATTCATGTGTTAGAGTGGACTATGTATCTGTCTGTCTACTCTATGTGCTTTATGGTGACTGCTACTTGGAATTTATTTGCCTGTTGCCTAGGGATATACTTTCTGGATGACTACAAAGTTCAGATTTGTTTGTATGAGTTTGTAATGAAGCAGTTATATAGTCCAGGAAAGTAAGAGGAGCCTCCTATGAACTCCTGAAGCATGCTGGATTTTAAATCAGGGGGATTATTAGGATAAGGAGAATCTTTATTTCTTTACAGTTAGCCAGGGCAGCCACTTCTTGTGCAAAGCACTGCCATCCTAAAGAGGCATGGACAGACATTTCAAAATCTGTTCAAAGCATTGTCTGAGAGACAGGCTCTAAGTGCTAGACTGCTTTCTTGAGCGTGGCTCCAGGTTTTAGGTTAGATTGTCTGAGCTGAAATGAGGCACTAGCCAGGGTGAGTGGACCAGAAGAGAAGGTGTAGCTTTGGGGTGTTGGCAGTCATGGCTTCAGCTTTCTGCTCCACATATATTGGGTGGGAACCTTAAATACTTTCCTCGTGTTTGTATCTGTCTTGAAACTTTCTGTATAACTAACAGGAGAGCTGTTCTGTGTGAACACAGTGTCTTGGGACTTTTGCATGATCTTTTTATCCACAAGGGAATCTTCCTCTTGCCAAAGGCGTTTGAGTTCACCTGCATGTTTGGTCCTCACTGTGACAGACTGGATATGTCCTACTTGAGCTGTATTCTTTGTAGAGATAAAGGTAGTGCCTGTGGTTGTATCTACCTTCACATTTATAGCCCAGACCAGTGATCCCAAATTGCTGAGTTGCACCCCAGTGCAGACCTTAATGCTTCTGCATCTCCTTGGGGGTTCTGAGCAGAGTGATGAGCAAAAAGGCAGTGTGTTTTCACAGGCCTGTTGCAGAGAGTCAGTGATTACTGAATAGTGTCTGAAGAGCTGTTGACCTGGAGGACAGAACACTTGGCCTGTCACCTGGGAAGCCTGTAGCTGATGTCTGTCAAGGCAGACTGAAGATGGGCCAAGCTCACTCTGATCCTCTGGCTGAACCTGCCACTGTGTATAGAGAGGGATGTGACTTTGCTCCCCAGTGTCAGGTTAGTCATTCTCCCTGCTATGTCAGAAGCACTATGGCAAAGGCATTCCTTTGGGATGAGGTGTGTCCTCAGTTCTGGTCTGTTTCCTGAGGTGGTTTTTGGTTTTTCCCAGCAGCTCTTTTCTATATAAGCTGCTTTGTAAGCTGACATTGGAGCAAGACTTTTATGTTCCGTTCCATGCGTCAGTACAGTTTCAGTGGTGAGAAGAGAGTTTCTGTCTCAATCTTTCTGATATGAAGGCATTCCTGTTTGAGTTATGATACAGGGTTGAGCTCTTTTGTGTAGAACAGGGCACTTGGTACATGTTTCATATACTGTCAGGCAATTTATTACTATTGCCAAGTTGTCCTGTGCTTTTAGTAAAGCTGCTAGAACACCATGCTTTGTGTTGCACTTGGAATTGTGTGCATTCCAGCATACATGCTGCAGCTGCTGTTCCCTGAGTGTAGGGTCCTTGTGGGACTGCAGCATGCAAATGTCTGGTTGGTGCATCTCAAATGGACTTTCTTGTGAACCTTTATGTTCTGCTCCTCTAAGATGGCGCAG